TTGCATCTAGATGGCTGCTTGCAAGCTTTTAAGATCCCAGTCACTACTCACCAAAGTAGGAGGTGGAAAAATGTTTTGTGTAGTATGTTATGCCAATTGAGCTTGATGTCCCCTGCAAATATGGACCATTTTATTTTGTACACAGATGCAATATTTTAATAAAAAGGGGAAGATTACCCAATAAACAAGGTAACCATGGGCTTACTTGTGCTTAACTTAGTAATTTGTAATGAATATGGGTTTCACTACATCTTTGATGTGATGAAATACATGTGAAACTGTTCACTGCATATTAGTAAGTAAGCACAAGTAAGCCCATGCTTACCTTGTTTACTGGGTACTCTGTCCCTTATCAGGGATTGCAAATTTGAAAAGAGGCTTTGATCCTGTAAGAAGATGCTGTAGTGTTGGAACAGAAATAGTATGCCAGCCATACTTAGAAGCAGAATCTTTGATGTGGTGAAAAATGTGAAACTGTTCACTATGGATTAGAAAGTAAGTACTTAAAGTAAGGCCGTGATTACCTTGCTTACTGGGTAATCCAACACTGAGTAAGTTATGGCTGGATGGGTAGGGTGAGACTGTTCACTAAACCGGAATGCTGCCTTCACCTCTTTGCTCCATTTCTCCCTTGATATGCTGGGGAAAGGAGCTCCTGGTAGCACTGTGGCTACAGCATTTGGCTGCTAACCCAAAGATTGATAGTTTGAGCACACCAGCCTCTCCAAGCACAATCTGCTTCCATGAATATTTACAGCCTTAGAAACCCTATGGGACAGTTCTACTCTGTCCTATAGGGTTGCTATGAATCAGAGTCAACTCAATGGCAGTGGGTTTGAGGACTGGTACCCTGAGGAAATAAACAGGCAATAAAATGAACACACCGTCTTTATTTTCTCCAAAAACTGAGATAAAGAAAACTCTTTGGAAATAGAAACTACCTGCAGGATTGAAAACGGGAAGATCCAGCTTCACAGCAGTGGCTCCCAGATGCTCAAAGGAAGGAATCAAACTTGGCCAGGGTTAGCCAAGATCTTCCCAAGTTGGTCCAGATCAGGGCTCCAGTGATTGGTATTTCAAAGAGGAAAGCAAACAGTCAAGAATTTGAATGTGTTTCCCTGGAAACACATACTGCTGATGCTCCTGTTGCCTTGGCCAATGACGCAGGCTGGAGGCTGGTGGTGGGGAGGGCATAAACTGACCCAATGTCCCAAGCACTTCAGCCATCCTTATGCTGAGCCTAGGGTCTGTCCAGCCCTCCTGCCCCCAGAAGGTAACCCTCTCCATGTCTTGGCATATACTTCTGTGTAGGTTTGAATGTCTTGTGCCATGAGCCAGCCTCACAAGAGGAATAAGTGTGCAAAGATTTCCAGAAAGGTCAGGAGGATTGAAGCAGGGCCCAAGTCATAACACTAGCCAGCCAGGAGGGCAGTCCTTCAGGGTTGCTCTTCTCCTCGGTCCCCTTTCATGGGCTTGATAAAGCTGCAGCTCCTCCACCAGCTACTCCCACTGGATTCCTAGAAGCTCACAGCTGACGTTCCACAAGCGTTCAGCCGTTTTGTTATTTCGGGCCTTTGGAGACACCCAAGTCCTCTTGCAGTCACTGAAGGGCAGAGAAAGAACATGAACATGAAAGAGTAGAGACTCAGAGTGAACAATCTCCAGTCCCACTGGACCAAAGACCCAGAAACCTCATGAAGGCACATATATATATTTGTGTGTGTGTGTGTCTATGCACAAATATACATATGTATATATATATATATATATATATATA